TATATTTTTATTAAGTTTATTATGTTTGTTTTATTAGTTCATTGTTCTCCATGCGCTTTTTAAAATAAAAACCAAATTAACATTTTAGTAAATTTTTTTGAGGACCCCCCAAGATACCTGTCGCGGACCCCTGGGGGTCCAGGGACCCCAGTTTGAGAACCTCTGGTTTATACTGTTATTATGCCCATGTGTAATTAGTAAGTCATTTTGTGGGCTGGAAGCTGAAAACTTTGAAAACCACTGCTGGTTCAGAGAGTTCAACACACCACAGCCTAACAACAATCAAACTAAAGCACGAAAAAGTGCTTAAAAGATTATGCAAATATCAAAAGAAGCACAGATCACATATGGTGCAGCCAAATCTTTATTGCATGTTTTGTCGTTCTTTTTTAATTTTTACATACCTGGTTGGATTAATGAAAATAAAATCTAGCTGACACCTGTGCAATGTGCTCTTTGCCTTTCATCAGTCAATCAGAGAAACTGATCTGACAGGCAGGGAGACTGACTAAACACGTCTGTCTGCCTGTCCAGCAGAACCCACCCTTTTCATTCTTTCAGGCTGGATCCAAGGCAAAGACCTAAACATTAGGCTACATTTCAACTTTAAAGCAGACAGGAGGTAAACCTGCTGTAAATAAGGGAGGTAAGTAAAAAAGACTTGATAGAAACATTTATATTGCAACTTTCCTCAATTCTGTTTCTTCCTGTAAAAGAAAGTAAACATATATTCACAAGCTTGTGACACTGTTATTTATTTTTTCCCCTGTTGTTTCCTTCAGTGTGATAATGGCTGAATACGCGCTCAGTGTGACAACAGGTGCCATGAAGCATGCAGGAACAATAGACCACGTCTACGTCGTCCTGTTTGGAACAGAAGGGCAGAGCGGACGCACCAACCTGGACAACTTTGGTATCGACTTCAGAACCGGGAAGGCAAGTTCTAGTCTATTAGGCAACTTTCAAACAGGCCGATCAGGCTTGAGCACAATGTGGAGCCCCTGGTGCTTTCCTTTCATTTCCGGTCAGAACAGACACATATGAATGAAAGCATTTCAGGAGGATGCTGTTTTTGCTTGATGCGTGTTTGTTAGCAAAATATCTCATGAACCACTGGGCAGATTTTAATGAAACATGATGATCTTAGTCAAATCGTGGCAGGACAAGGCAGCAGGGGTGGAGCTAGATTTTTTTTTGCAAGGGGTGGCATTTTTTTTAGAGGGCTACATACAAATAACGAAAAGTGCTTTGGATTTAAAAAAAAAGTCAAGATGGCCGCCACAGCAAACTCCAAATGAATTCAATTCAGCTGTTTAAGAAATATTGAACAGAAATTTTGTGTGATCATAAGAATGATAAAATAAAACATGCTGAATGCTAGTCATAACTTACTATTTAGCCATTTTTAAACATAAAAAACTGAAAATTACTGTAAAAGTAGCCGAAAACAATCTTTGCGAAATTCAAAATGCAAACCAAAAATTCAAGATGGACACCACAGTTAACTTTAAAAGCCCACAATTCTGCCATTTTAATCTTATTGAGGAAAAAAAAAACTGTTGTGGAGTAGCTAAGAATAATCACATGCTGACTGCCAACGCAAATCCCAAGTTATGCTAACAACTAATGCTAATTTTACAAAGGGCAATAGTTTTTGAACATACACAGCTGAAAATGTATATAAAACAGTAGTATGAGAGAAAACCTTTAACAAAAATCTAAATGCAACTAGACATGGGTTTTTACGATGCAAAAACAAGTGTGCATTGCCACATAGCATGTCAATGCAGCATGGCTTTGCCTGCAGCATTGGACTTGCAGAAGGAACTTTGACCAAGTTCAAATGTGTTTTCTATACCAGCTTGTGCCTGTCAAGTCAGCAGGTGTTTAGAATTAAGGTAATTGTGTGACAATATGAAGTTTGAAGAGATTTTTTTCCTAAAGTTGCATTAGCCGTGTTTTGAACCCTGATCTCCCACATGAAAGTCCATGACATAGACCATTAGACCAATGGAGTTGTGGCAGAAGGTGGTGGCAGGGCTTGGTTTGTATGTGTGCAGAAAGAGGCCATATTGCCAATACAATTATTGACACTAAACTGCATAATATTACAACAATATAACAGTATTAAGACAATTTTATAGTAAAACATCCAAATACAATCATATTAGTATTGTAAACACTGAACTATTGAGATTAAATATTAAAAAACTGTGGTGCAGTACCAAGTTGAGTACAGCTGGGGGCAGTAATGGACAATTACAAGGCCCCTTTGACTCCCATTTTATAAATTTGGAATAAAGTTTAAACATTAATATTTCAAAAACTACAAGTGGTACAGGCAGCAAAAGGCAAAGCAATCATTTGGCACAGGACCTTTACAGATAGAAATTACAATGGCAGCTGTTGGACAAAGTATGCAGGAGGAGTAGCGTGGCGACGTGGAAGAAGATGGAATAAGTTGAATAATAAAGAGAAACAGAAAAACAATAGACAATATAAAACCCAAGATTTCCACCCACTTGCCAATTATTTCAGGGTGGCACCTGTGGTAGCCAATCAGGAGCCAGAGATGACACTCGTTACCCCGGTCACCCTCCTGGCTCCGCCCCTGCAAGGCAGCAGCTGATGTGTGTGTTCTATCTGACTARTAAATGGCACTGACATTTATTTATTTCATATTTACTGTGATTCTCAGACAAGAACATTCAGCATCAAGACGAGCTCGTCTCTGGGGAAACTTTTGCTCCTTAAAGTGGAGAAAGATCCTCGCCTCTGCCTAAAAGAGGACGAGTGGTTCTGCTCCGAAATGGTGGTGACGACTCCAGAGGGAGAGGAGGTTTTTTTCCCCTGTCACAGGTGGATTTACAGGGGAGACAATGTGGCGCTCAGAGGGGGGAAAGGTCTGTGAAAAATTTTCAAAACAATAACAGATGTTCATAATTATTTTTACACAATACACAGACTGAGTTTTGTCATTTAATAAACRTCATTTCTGCCTTTAAGCTACAAARGCTTTTGAGGACGAGCATCCTCTGCTGATTGAGCACCGGAAAGAAGAGTTAAAGCTTAGGAAGAGCTTGTACCAGTAAGTTTCCACTTCACGTTCAAGAAACTTCTCTGAACAAATGGTTGAAACTCGTTTTTATCTTTTTCGCTGTTAGGTGGGAGGTTACTGACGACAAGTTTTTACACAACAGTCACTTCAAAAACATATCTGAGCTCCCCGGAGAAATCCGCTTCTCTGTGTCCAAATCAGAACAAATATCCTACAAAAAAAGAATGACGTGAGTCGGGAATTCTAATTTACTCACGCAGTTTTTATTCAGGTTAATCTGCGTTTTACGCTTCTGCGTGTGGTTCTTGTTTTAGCGATGCTGAACTGGGATTCAAAAGCCTGGCGGGAGCCAATAAACAGTGGAAACACATCAACGACATGAAGAAAATCTTCTGTTTCAAAAAGACGACAATGTCAGGTATGGAGCATCCTCTTTCCCAATTTAGAAAAACTTGCAAATAATGTTCATTATACTGTAACGATACATTATAATGGTATAGTTTGTCCTTAAAGAGTATGTTTCTGAGCACTGGAAAGAAGACGACTTTTTTGGATTCCAGTTTCTGAACGCAACAAACCCCAACGTGATCAGGCGCTGTGCGAAACTTCCTCCGAACTTTCCGGTCACAGAGGAGACGGTGACGCCGTTTCTGGCTGGAAGCACTCTGAAGAAAGAAATGGAGGTTGTTTATTTTTAAAACGGGAAGCTTGCGCAGATTTTCACAAGTATTTCCATACATTTTTATGCAAGTCTTTATGTTTTTTGTCCCGTACAGAACGGTAATATATTCCTGGTGGACCAGAAGATAATGGATGGAATACCAACCAGAGAGAAGGATGGAGGTTCTCTTCACATAAGTGCTGGTTTTTGCTTGTTCTAYATGAACCCGGAGAAAAAACTCATGCCTCTTGCAATACAGGTATTTCATGAATAAAAGACTTACGATGTGGTTTAGTAGGGTGAGAGGTTGTTCTGATTGACCGAAGTTCTTCGAAAAGTCTTTTGACAGGGTTTTTTTTCCTTTCAGCTTCGGCAGCAACCCTCCGAGCAGAACCCCATCTTTCTGCCCAGCGACCCGCAGACAGACTGGCTCCTGGCCAAGCTGTTCTTTAAAAGCGCGCATGTATTGGAGAACCAGACGGTCCATCACATCTTGAACACGCACTGCCTGGCAGAAGTCTTCGCTGTCGCTACTCTCCGCTGTTTCCCCGCCGTCCATCCTTTTTACAAGGTACGCAGCGAAGCCGGTGAGGCGTTCAAGTGTCCGCCCCATTTCTCTTAAATGTGACCTCACCTGGAGTTCGATGCTTTTCCTCTCTGTGCAGCTGCTGATCCCTCATTTCCGCTACACTCTGCACATCAACATATTTGTTCGRATGTCAGTTCTTGGACCCGGCGGGGCTTTGAGTGAGGTATGTTACTCCGGTTTAGCTTTTTCACCCATATTGTGGAAGTGTGGTCATGAATTCCATCCTTTCATAACACAGTAGAAATACAAAACATAACTCTGTTGGGKTTGATGATTTCTAGAGTTCCCTTGGTGTGGATGGGATGAGGGAGCTGATGAGAAGGGCCCTGTCTAACATGACCTACAGCGCCCTCTGTCTGCCTGACAACATCACTGCACGAGGTCTCGAGTCCATCCCTGGCTTCTACTACAGAGATGACGCTTTGAAGCTGTGGAACTACATCATGAGGTCACAAGTGTTCAATATTTTGTAAAACAATAATTTCAAAATGAAAATTAAAAAAATTATTATTTTTTATATTAGTTTCGTGAGGAGCATGGTGGAGCTTTTCTATTCCTCAGACAGCGACGTGAGGAAAGACACTGAACTGCAGGAATGGATCCATGAGATATTCACGCACGGCTTCTTGGAAAACAAACTCTCTGGTAAAAATGTGTTTGTGTAGATGTATAAATTTGTTGGTAATGACTGATCAAACAGCGCCTAAAGACTATTCCCACAGAAAGTTTGTGGCTTGTTAACAGGCATTTTGGAAAACTCAAAATCAGAAAGTGACAGAACTTAACACTGGTGCTCAGCTTCAATGGTTTCCCTGTTTGCTCTATCTGCACAAGCCTTTCTATCAACCTGGGGTTGCATTTCCTCTTGCATCCACATCCTGGAAGCTTGTCCTATGAACCATACTTTTAATAATATTGGCACCCCATTAGAGGAACATGAAGCTTCCTAGGCTACGTTCACACTGCAGACAAATGCAATTTTCTTCCTTACATATGTGACCCATATTGGATTTCTTTTCCTGATAATCTGAACGTGACAAATTAAGAATTTTTCAAATCCGACCCGGGCCATTTTAGTATGTGGTASTAAATGTGATACATATCTGGTGCTTTTCAGTGTGCCCTCAGTCTGAAYGCTCGTGTCGCATTTCATTTACATCAGTGAGCAGATCGAAGTGTTTAGAATATTGATATAAAACTATCTTGTAGCTCYCAGTGGCGGCTGGTCAACCAGTTCCCTGAAGAGGCACTGAAGACCACCGTAGAGGCCTACCCCATGCTGAACAAGGCCAAGCTGAAGACTGAACTGAGTCTCATCTACAGCGTGGATGAGTTCAGGAGCTGCAGTGGTGCTGTGGCTCTGAACCAGCTTTTCATGGACAACAATSTGCAGGACACCTTTTCAGAGATYGTGACTCTGCTGAAGATTCTGATCACAACTCCCATGACCACAGCTGAGTCAGAGAGGTGTTTCACAACCCTGAAAAGAATCAAGACTTTCCTCAGGAACACAATGTCACAGGATCGTCTCAATGCRCTGGCCATGCTCTCTATAGAGAAAAAACTTGTTGAAAACATCCCGGCAAAATTTCTGTACAGAAAACAAAACCCGACATGATATGTTTTTCTAAACCTCACCAATCATTCACCCTGGCTTTTGTTTGCAGTCAGTTTGTAATGCGATGGTCGTTCGTAGGAGGACAGCTAGCTTAGCATAAACCATGTGCTACGGTGCAGCTCCGAAAAAAGCGACAGCTTTTTGGTTCCCACATGTACTACTTTATTACAGAACTTGAAACCATACAAAGCCAGGTCTCCACGGCACTAAATCTACATTCATACATGAATGTATAGATAATAGTCCATGATCCTTCACCATCATTCATTACGCAGCAGAGCAGCTAAGCGCGTACACACAGCGAGGCTTTAGCTCTGGACTCTTAGCATTCACAACTTCCTATGTTATAACAGACGAGGCGCCATCGTGTGGCACTTAAAAGGTACTACAACCGTGATATACGTACATACTGACTGTTACAAGTTATTGCTGAATGTTTTTCATTTTTAAAGTAATAAACGACATTACAATGTTCTTTATATTGCTTTTATTGTTTTCGTAGTTAAATAAATAACCTGGCATGATACAACTTGGTACACGTTTGTTTGCTTTCTGAAACATGTCTACTTTGGAGTTGTAGCCCCCCTGGTGAAAAATCCACCAGCCGCCACTGGTAGCTCCTCTCCTCTTCGGCTACAGAACAAAACAGTTGCTTTGTCTTTCTTCTTTTAATTTTCCATGTCTGGATGACTGAGAATCCACAGAAATATGATAGTAATATCTGTCTCGGACCGTATCGATACTAAAATTACTGGATCGTCGTTACTTTGCGTTTCTTTGTACCTAAAATACACGCAGTACTAGAGCAGCCAGGCCGGTTTAAATGTAAATATTGAACTAAAAAAGCATGTCAGACAATAATTTAAATGGCTCTGACTGTGCAACAACTTAAAAATCTAAATGCTAACATGTAGCATCCGTAGGCTACTCCTGTAAACTGAGGTGAATGTGACGTCACGTCATCTACTGCATCGCATCAGTGCCAAGTAGAGTTCATACTGGAGTCTGGTGGAGGTCGCTTTTAAAATATAAAGTAAATGTCCACACAAAAAGAATTGAGCATCAAGAACTATGGTGTGAACGTTTGTCTTTTTTCTGAACTCCCCAGACAGCTTTCACCTTTGCTTCCTGTTCAGTCTGGTGCCCACAATGATACGGTTCTTTGTTTACTCTATCAAATACAGGCAGAGATCCATCTTTATTTTATATTTCTGTCTGAATTTGCTCCTGCTTTTTATTGTCAGTGATATTTTTTTAAATACATCTTGACGTTGCTCTTTATAGGTATTCCAACATGCTTCAACACTGTGGGTGAAGTGGTCAAGTTCACCACCATGGTGATCTTTACGGTGACTGTACAACATGCTGCTGTCAGTAATGGACAGGTGGGTCAACGCTGTCAGTTTGGCACAAAGAAGGAATGGTTTAAGTTTAAAAAAGTTAGTTGTTTTTTTTAATTCAAGGAGCTTTCTTGTAAGGTTTACGTGTTTATTTTGTAAAAATACTGTTTTATCTTCTAGTTTGACTACCACGCCTGGATCCCCAATGGCTCTCTTCAGCTGCGCGGACCTCCTCCAACCACAAAAGGCCAGTCGAGCATGCAAACGGTTCTTGAGGTTCTCCCAAACGTTGGCGACACCGTTAAGTTCGCAGCATTGAGTTGGACTCTGTCAAGCAAGTACACCAATGCGGTGAGTGTGGCGAATAAAAGACATGTATGAAATCACTGCTTTCAGCCTAACCTGATGTCTCCGGTAGGTTCCTTTGGGTGAATACCCTGAAGAGCGTTTCCACGAGCCAGCCACTAAGCTGATGATTAAGGACTTTCAAGCTGAACTATCCTACCTGACTGAAGAAATTAACGCAAGAAACTCTCGGCTTAAAGTACCCTACTCGTATCTAAACCCTGCTGAAATAGAAAACAGTGTAGCAGTTTAGACAAGTACGGAAAAACCAAGCTTGACTCTATGTATCCCCCCTCCACCTGTTTTAGTTGAAGTGTTCATTTGATTCAGTGTCGGCCATAGTTGGGAGTCTTTTTCTGTCCAAAATAAAGCCAATATCAAAGGGTCAGGTAATCCAGACCTTTCTATGGAAAGATTAATAATTATCTCATCTATGGATAGTTCTTTGAAGAACTTCATTTTAGATTGTTTAATTTCGACTGCATTGATAAGATAGGGGCTAGCTAGAAGTTAAGATAAAGTGGATTTCTGTTAACGCAACTCTCAAAAATCTGAGTTATTTTAAGACAACAGATATTTATTTCTGTATTTATCCAACTTAAATTAGCCACTAGCTTGTTAAACTTCAAATTATGAGTTTGCTCCACTTTGGCTGTTTAAAGAGCTATCTGCAGCAGGTAGTATATTATCTATTTATAGTCATGTCGTGAAGATTATGTTCTTTTTACATCCTTGTTTATAAAATCTTTATACTGTCAACTTCACTAATGTTATTTCTGTTTAATGCAATCTTATTTTGTTTACTGGACTGAATGTTTTTATGTTTAAGTTGCATTATTTCTAATTTTATCTAACAGCTATAGATTTTAACAAAGATGGGAAACACTTAAATCATACAAAAGGCAGTGGGGACTTTATTAAATTGCAGCAAATTAGATACATTAATTACTGGATGTCCAACTGTTACAACACATTGTAAACAAACAAACAAACAAATCCAAACAAAACATGTGCACATGGCTGGACCCCTGGAAGAGATCAGAAGTGCTTCAAATTAGCTTTACTGATCCTCTTGGAAGGGATTAGAAACATTTAAAGTGCTGTCATAGTTTCTGACACAGAAATAACACAGTTTAACCAACAACTTGCTGTTTTTCACAAAGGCAGAAAAATATGTAAGTTCATCTTTAACATTATTGAGAATAAAAATCTAGTGCTCACACTCGTCAAAATATGTGTTCTTACCAGAATAAAGATGTTTTTTTTGTTTTTTAGCACAAACCCATGCAAAGATAAATGCTCATATTTAATATTTCTTTCTAAATATAAATTGTTCACAAGAGGTGTTGTTTCATTAAGGCTTCTTTCCAAATTAAAATACAGGAAGTGTTGATTTACTCAAAAAAAAAAATAATAACCTAAATATCTTAACATTCACAGAACACCAAAGTGAAACTTGTGCAGCTCGGTTTGTGGTCAGGAGTGGACGTGACGCAGGACGCGACGAAGCGAGAGTCCGTCTCGCGCCGTGCACATGGCAGGAAGTGGAATGGGCTCCGTTTTCTGCTCGGCCATGTTGAAGTGGCACTTCTTAAGGTGAACAGACATGCTGGGGACATCAGTGAARCCCCAGGAGGACACGGGGCTGAAGGCAGTGCTGAATTTCCACATCTGGAACAGGACATAAAAAAAAATACAATGATAATAAGATCAATTTTGGGTACATTTTGAAGTTATATTGCTTATTTTAGACCAGGGATGTCCAAAGTGTGGCCCGGGGGCCATTCATGTGTGTGAACGCTTCATCACATTCACACTATCGATCATTTTTTCTTCCGTACGTTTTTCGGCATCTAACTCGTTCCACAATTTTTGCGCCATTTCAACAGTTCATATCAAAACGTTCAGCTCATTCATGTGAGGGGTGCTATGACTTTTGGTGTTTCTGCTATTTAGACT